CGCGTTCGCGGGGAGCGGCTTGTTAATCAGGACGGAGAGTACCCTTCGCTCGTACGGCGCAATAAGCCGCGGCGGAACGCTATCTTGATTTTCCTCCCTCGCTATATATTGTTAGCCGGTTGAGCACGTCTCGGAAAAAACCGAATTTGGGCTCGCGCGTATCGCGAGTATTCACAGCGCTTCGAGCTTTTCCCGAAGTTGCCGGGAAATTTCCTCGTGCTCCCCGCGGTATGTATAAAATTAAGTTGAGCCGTCGCGGCCAGCTTGAGCGGCGAATTTGCGAAAGCGCATCCCGCGGATGCAATCAGGCCGACGATGCTGAGAGCATCCCGAACGATCATCTCTCTCTCTCTCTCTCTCTCTCTCTCTCTCTCTCTCTCTCTCTCTCTGGGTGTGTATACCGCACACGAGATTGTTCGCGTGTCGCGTATTTGTGTGCTGCGCGAGCCGTACCGTCAGTGACGGTTTTAATTTCTACTTTCCTTAGTCCGAGCTTTCTCTTTCCCGCGCGATGCAGCCTTATCTCGCACCGGCGAGCACATCTGCCGATGGTAACGCGTAACGCGAGGCGTTTACCGATTTTATCGCGAGACGTCTGTATTTACCTTTAGATACAATTACGCGTTAATGCGCCGAGCGTAGGAAGCGGTTTTGCGTGATACACGCCATATCGGCGCGCGCGGCCCGAGAGCGTGCGAAAGAGAGAAGGAGAGAGATGATGTGTAGTGTGTGCCCTCTTCCCCTTTCACTCCGTCAGCGCGATCAACACGTTCGATATGACGTGCGATCTCCGTCCCGTTCCTTTCTGTTCCGTGTCGTTCCGTTTCGTGCCCAACGACACGCGCGCCCGCGCTTTACGATGTAATAAATAATAATCGCCGCCGATGCGCGCGCGCGACGTACCGAAGAAAACACGTGTCACGACGATTAAACGACGTGTCGGGCCCCGCGTGATTACTCGGCTCGATCGCCGCCTCCGATAGAGCAGTTGAGAAAAGAAAGAGGAGAAAACGAAACTCTAAACGCGTCAATTTCGCCGCGAGGCGCACCAGGCGTGCCGGGAGAAACGAGAAACGGACGGAAGGAATGGGGCAGATGCTCTCTCTCTCTCTCTCTCTCTTTCTTTCTTTCTGCGCCGAAATAATCTCCCGTCTGGTATTACAACGGTCAGAAACAAGCCCTCGAGCTCTCTGGAGGGTA